ATTCTGACATAGCTGTCTACCATATGGCTTTTGGCTACAGATATAGATTTTGGAATGTTTTCCTGACTGACAAGTCACTAGCTTTTATATTATTTCTTTGAAACTGCTGCATTTGTGCATCTGACAACTGAATATCGTTAATTCAATGTTATTTATACAGCATATTAGCTATTAGCACAGACTATAAGAATGGCTGCCATGTCCAACAGTAGCAGTGGAGCAATTTAAAATAAGGTAATTTAAATTGTTAAGTCACTTGAATTTTTTAACTATAGAATCACTGAAGTAAAACTAATATAATCTGTTATTGCAATTTTAAAATTAAAAATAAACTAAGGTTATAAATTATTTGTTAAAAAATGATACTACTGGCAGGATTTCTTATTTGACTTTTATAAGATTGTTATAGGCAAAAAAGCAAAATATTAGAAATAAAATCTCTAATCGGGCAGAACACTTAAAACAGATGTGCAGGGGAGCCTAGAGACTCGCCAGGCAAGGTTTAGGGGGATGACTCCACACTACTGGAAGAGGCAGGGCTGGAACAGCCAATCCTCACCACCACCTGGACCACAGCAACCCACCCCAGCCCTTAGAGCTGCTTATAGTGCATGCGGTGTCCAATGGCAAATTAAAGGACCTGGGGTTCTGGGTGTCTCTGCTGCTGCAGCGGAAACAGCTGGGAGCCCTGGGTCCATTTGAATCACTGGGCCCAGATGCAATTGCCCACTCTGTCCTCCTCTCCCCCTCATTGGATGGACGCTGATGGACTTCAATGAGACTACAAAGGTGCTTAAAGTTAGGCATGTGCAAAATTAAAAGTAGTACAGAACACCTAGTTTAAGACTGTAAAGTAGGAAGAAGTTAAAGAACTAACAACATGGACATAAAATTCCTAATTTAAAAATCATTCTTATTCATTACAAGTAAGAGGAGGTCAAATTTTGACTCTATGCAGACTGTGTTCTAATAAAAAAGGCAAATATTTCAACATTAATTGAGATCTATATTAGTTCCAAGTCAACTAAACTATTAATACTCCTTTCTAAATTCACTATTGCCTGGTCCTCCTTTTTATCCCCCATCTTTAAGCACACACGAAACAGAGATTAGGGCCAGGAATGATTACTTTGACTTAGCACACTGCCCTTGTTTGCACTAAAAATATTTAATCCTAAAAACACTCATGCTCATACTCTCATCCCAATCTTATGGTTATAACCAACACATGGTGTGACCTTTAAGCAGATTAATGTAACAAACTGAATGGGACTGCCTCACTGGGATAATCATAGGAGAGATTCTTTGTTCCTCCATTGTATTATAAAGACACATCAGGATTCCATGGGATGTTAGTGAAGTGAGCTGGCCATTTTTCCAAAGCATCTTACAGGCAGTGTCTGGCAGAATATGATCTCATTTCAATGATGCTACTCCTTCCCTGTCCCCAGCATGCATTTTTTAAACCAAAGCAACCAATCAACATTAATTCCATTCCATTATTCACTGATGACAGCTGATCTCCTCTTAAGTCTTAATTGCATAATAACAATTCAAGCATCACATTTTATATAAGGAATTAGTGGAAAACTCAAAGCTACCACATTGAAATGAAGCTACCTCATAGTAAAGACAGCTGTTTGCAATTCTGATTGCATACAGTATAAAAACCAGACTGTTTTTGTGAATGTTCGTGTATTGTTTCTTTATAGCTGTAACAAAAAGTGTTTTGATTTTTTTCACTACCGGTCCTGACTGCCATTTCGTCATAAAAACATTGCTAACAACTACCAATATTTGTGAAATGAATATTCTCTGCTCTACAACCCTCATTGCTGATCACTAATATGAAATTTGGCATGTACCTATTATAAAAGTTCACTAATTTTCTTAACCAGAGAAAAGGAAGCACCTTGTTGTTTTTGTTTTGTTTTCTCTTGTTGTAGAAGTAGCAAACCCTGCTGTGTTTTTTTCCTGATTCTGATGTGTTATTCAGCACTATTAATGAATAATCCACACTAGTTTTGCAACAGGACTGATAAGCAGCTCTCCTGACCCACTGCTCCCAGAAGACAGTTTTTTGGTTGCCATTTCATATGGGACAAGCCAGCTTATTAGGTCCAACTTTGTCTACCATCTACTATACTATAACCATAGCTCTTCGATTGTCCCTGTTTTCACAGTCCTTATTTGATAACATCAGAGTACTGAAAAAGAAAATTGATGTAAATAAATCATACCAAAGCAATAACCTGCTCCCACCCCAATTTCAGACAGAGCTTTTTGCTTGTACCATTTAATATAAGTCTCAATAGTCAGCAACAACCAAGCTGTCTACAAACTTGCTTTGTCTGCAACCGAGATGATTCCTGTCACTAAATTACAAGGTCTAAATCACAGTTTTCCCTTCTTACTGATAAACAGTTATTTACACACAATTACTTCCTTGGCCTTTTGGACTTCATTCATTTCCCACCTTTAAGAAAAAAAAATCGCACCTTATTTTTTTTTAGCAAACTGTTAAAGACTACACTCAGGACTAGGGATGTAAATGGGTAACCGGTTAACCATTGCCTGGGAGCATCTACGTGGGCTGGGAGTCGGCAGCCTCACGGGGATTTATGGGGGACCGACTGAAATGATAGCAGGAAGGGCTACTAGGCTCCTAGCCCGTGAGGCCATTCAGGCTGGAAGTTGGCAGTCCTACCCTGCACCTGGTTCCGGACCCCCTACAGTCCCTGCTCACGGTGCAAGGTCCGCACCAGCCCAGGCACTTCTGCCCAATGTGCTGAAACAGCCCAGCCCTGCTTAATCTGTTAACCCATTAAATTTAACGTTTAACTAATTAACCAAGTAAATGGGATTTTACATCCCTATTCATGACCCATTCCTCACGAACAGCCCTGAGATTCGGTATTGAAATCTGCAGCCTCAATTGTATAGTGATCTACAGCCTCAATTATTTGTCTGGGGTGTGGCTCGGGAATTAAAATTGTTCAATATCCTATCTCATACAGTACTGAATACTTTTATCACCACACTTGAGTAGACTAAGGAATACTATAAGGCCTTCATTAATTTTAATTGCTGGAATAAATCCAAGTCAGTTTACAAAGGGATTTGAAGACGTTAACCCAACATTAATCAACAGTATGCTGCAAATGAAGATTATAACATTCGCATTTTAGAATGAGTGTGTGTAATCAAACAGACATGCCCCCAAGCACTGGTATCTCTCATGGTTTGAGCCCCACTCCTGTCACTTTTCATATATAAAGCGTGCGTGCGTGTGTGTGTGTGTGTAAAAGACACTACCCGAACCCTGTTGCCTTTGCTTCTTTCTACCTGCAGTTTCATTTTGCTGTAACATCATTAATTAGATTAATTCTTAAATTTATATATAAAGTGTTGAAGTGTCACTATTCAACATCCCAATAACAAAATTAGAATATTTTCTAAACCCCTTATATGATTTATCCTTCTCACAGGTAGTGATCCTTGTTTAGAGAGTGGCAAAAGGAATAAAATTATATCCTACTGAGATACAAGTTTCTGGAGTAAGTAGGAAGAGTGGTTCAATTGCAACAGATGTAAAATATTTTTAAAAACAAGTTAAGTTTCAAAATCCCTTAAAATAACAAAGATTATGTTGAAAAATATTTAGAGTGGACCCTGTCCACTCAAGCAAATAATCAGAATGAATTATTTACAGGCACGCTTTCATCTTCACTACAGCTGAGAAGAGCTGAATTCTAAGGAGCTTAGGGAGATGCCGACACATCTGCTAACCAGGCAGAATAATGAGTAGGAGTCCAAGCAATGACAGTCCAGCAACCTGTTTTCCTGAGGGGAGAATACTGCCGGGAGACAACAGGAGAAAAGCAGAGCACTATGTCTTAGTTCCAAAGCGCTTTTTGCCTCAGAGAAAAAGCAAGGCACGATACCTGAGTTTCACCACAAAACCCCAGAAGGTGCTTCCAAGCACTTCCTCTTACAACAAAGTCACGGTGCCAATTTCTACTGACTTGTTATACTCATAGGCACATTTTCCACCAGAAACTAGGGATGTTAAATATCGATTAGCAATGGAGACAGATACCTGATCCTAAATCTCCTCTGACACTACTAAAAACCAACTCCAAAAGCTGCTTTTTGTTGATCATCACTTGCCTTCCTTCCCTGTTAGCTGAGCAGCTCCTCATCCAGCTGGCCAAAGAAGCAACCCACATATAAAAAAAAGGCAGAAGCTCAGGAGGAGAGCAAGCAGAGGGTGGAACAAGCAATTTAAAGATTAGGATAATTTTGTAGTTCTCTTAGAAAGGAGATGTAAAATAAATGTAATGAGTTTTATCAGGAAAATTAGTTTTATGAGTCATCATTTGATTAACAAAGCCTACTCTCATAATGCAACAAGTTTAAAACAGATAGGAATTTTTACATAACATCATCAAAGGAACTTAATGCCAGTGAACAGACACAAAGAAAAATATCTACATTTAAACAAATAAGAACAGCATCCCTCTGAACACAGGATAAAAGTCAGAGGCTTTCACTTGTGCTTCGGAGTAGAAACTGACCAATAGCTGGGATCAGGAAATAATTACCCCCAAAATGCAATACTGCAGTAATTAGATGGATGGCTATTTTCTACATTTCTGTCCAGCACTTTGCATTAGCCACTTTGGGGGATTGGAATTGTCATACTAGAACCGAGTACTATTCTCAACTCATAAGGGATCAGTTGCACCACTGACCGAGTATCCTTATACACAAGAAGAAAATAGTTAAGCTTCAGACTATAAAAATACCCTTTTACTGTTCTAATGATTCGCTATACAAGGCTTTAAAAATCTGGAAAAGCAGAATTTTTTTCAGCCTGAATCTTGCTTCCCTTTTGGTCAATTAAGCCTGTCAGTTTCAGGGGGACAGGCAAGAGGAAGGTGTGCTTGGTAGTCCGCATCCAGCAATGCAAGCATGATTCAGGGTCACAGCTCACTTACCTTCTATAGAAGGGGCCTGGTCCTGAGCTGCATAGAGCATCTCCTTGAAAGCCTGCAGCAAACAGAAAAACAATTAAACCAGTCAGCACAAATAAGGCAAGTCACTCTGATAAGCCTGTTTGAAAATGAATAGCAATTAAAGACTTTTTAATTCCTCATAAAAAGGTATGGAATGTGAAGTCAGGGAAATTATTCCTGACAACAACAAATACAAACAAACTACATGTTTACTGACAGCTTTGTCTAAAACCTGTTGCCTTGCTGGCTAAAAGACTACCCTGACAGCATAAGTAAATATTCTTTTTTGGGAAAATATGTCAGATTATGTAGGATTGGATTTTACTAGAAAGAAACCAGAAAAGTCCAGAGCTTTGGCATAACCTAAGAGGAATCTGTGACAGCAAAGCAAGAAAGCCTCAGGGACTGCTTCCCAGTATTGCCAAGTACTGAAAAATACATATTTTTTTTTAAAAAATGAAGACAACATGACAAAAGAAATCTGCACATTTCCCTTTTTGTTTTCTATTGAATTTGAGATGAAAAGAGAACATTTATCTCAGGGTGGATAAAAATTGGTTAGAAACAGAAAAAATCTGATTTTTATTAACTCGGATTTTTTAAAATAGTCAATAAAACACTACGTTTCTCATTTAAAAATAGTTACAATTAAGTCTCATCACAAACATGCTGCACATACACTTACAGTCTCATAAAAATAAATTAATGGCTCTAGTCTGTCCAGCCTAACCACCAGCTCTTGCTTTTTGAAAGTTCTGGGCTTTCAATTTCTGTTTCTCAGCAGACTAAAAAGTAACATATGCAAAGAAAGACAAGTTGGATAGGACTGTTTTTGTTCTGACGTTGTCTAAAGACAGAGACACAATATATAGGGAAGGATGGAGGCAACATAGAAAGGAACAGAGGAGAGGACTGGAAAGAAAAAGGAAAGATGTTATTCAGCGTGCACACACAGCTTCCTATATTCCCTCACACTTTTACCACAGAAAAACTGTTATGGCTTCTATGTGCAAAAGACCCCCTATCTGGAAATATTTTGAAGAAAAATCATTCTCTGGGTTAAAAAAAGGAGAAATGTATAAAATGTAAGCAGTGCAAGAAGATGATGCAGGGCCTAGTTACAAGAATGAAACATCAGGAAAACTGCTTATTGGGAGAAAATGATGTAGATGAAGATGTGTATATGGCTGAAGAGCAATGTGAATCAACTGGTTACTTAAATAAATCACTTTGCAATACATCCTTCTTCAAGACTCTCTCTATGCCCTTTTAGTACAAGTGTGATTTGAGTAAATTCCCAAGCTGTTGGCTATGTTGGATGTTGCTAGCAAAAAGTTTAGCTTAACTAATTAAACAAGCCATGAGGTTTAGCTAATTAGGTTTAGAATCGATCACTAAAGTATATAATACAGAAAGTTGCAGTAAGAGAGATCTAGAGTTGCCAGTTGCCACTCAATGTCATTTTCTTATTTTACATTACATTAGGGGGCTGTCCCCTGTTCACTGCACTTGACAATCCCCCACTCTCCAGCCACAAAACCCCTGCTTGCTACATTCAAGTCCGACGTCATTCTGTCATGCGGCAGGAAAAGCTTTTTTATAGAGAGATATAATATATGCCCCTTATTTTGGGAGCATCATAGTCATAGACCATGAACAGACTTATGGCATTACCATTAGCCTATTCCCTATAATTCACCATATCTCAGCTTTTCTAATGGAACTCCATTTTATACTTGTTTTCTCAAAAAATCAGAAGTGCCAGCGAGTTCAATGGGGCTTACTTCAAAATTAAGCACACTCTAAGCAGTCAGCCTTCGCTTTTCTGGTAACTTGATTTAAATCCATGATTTTTGGGGGTGATTCAAATCACCAAGGCTACGTCTACACTGCAGGCTTCTTGTGCAATAACTTTTTGCTAACTGTTAGCCATCCAATCTTTCTCCTACATTGCTAGCCTAAAACTTTAGTTTTGGCTTTTTGGTGCACCTTTTTATTATTTTTAGTCTTTTGGTGCTCGTTTAGAAAGCTTGTCTTTTTTTAAAAGTTTTTTTTTTAAATATACATTTTTCTTTTGCTGACCCCTAGTTCTTGTGTTGAGGGACAGAGTAAAGAAGTCTTCTCTATTCACTTTTTAAATCTGTCATGATTTTATAAATCTCTAATATATCCCTTCTTAGTCATCTCTTTTCCAAGCAGAAAAGTCCCAGTCTTATTAAACTCTCCTCATATGGCCCTCTGTTAAACACTTGGTGGGAAATCTATTCAACTGCTATATGCGCAACCTGGGTTCAAGAGTGGTAATCAATCATCCTAAAATTCATGAAAAGTAACAGAGAGGTAGCCATGTTAGTCTGATCTTGGTAAAACAAAACAAAAAAAGCAGTCATGTAGCACTTTAAAGACTACCAAGATGGTTTATTAGGTGATGGATGAGCTTTCGTGGAGCAGACCCACTTTTTCAGATACAATTCATGTATTCCAAGCCTACAGCCTGTGTGCCAGTTGCAGCTAGTTACTCAAGCCATACCAACAATTCAAAAATGAGTCTAACAACGTACATTCCTGATTACTAAACAAGTGCAAATCTACTATATATTTGAGCAAGTTTGTCTGTCTATTCAAGAACTCCTCCTAGAAGATGAGGGCTAGGACCACCAAATTCAGTACACAGCTTCCTTTTACCATAACTTAAACCAATGTAAGGGTTTGGTTGTACCAGCAATGGGATTGCTTCTCAGAAAACCACACAGAAAAGAGACACTCATCAGGAAGGTGAAAGGGGCTGGCTGGGGTTGCCCCAACCCAGTCCAGAATTGCTCCAATCCTGAGCCTCCCACTACCAAGGCACCCTTTGGGAGGAGGTCAATCTCCCTCTTCTCTATTCCTATGGGAACATTGCTGGCCGTTCCCCTTTGCCAGGAAGCAAGGGAAAAGTGCACAGTTTGCTGCATTCCTCACTCTGGCTGGGGAGCGCAGGGGCAGACAAACTTGGACTTGGCCCAGCTGGCAACATGCATTCCTCCCCCGGCTGTACCTGCTGGAGCTGCAGCAGCCATGGAGAAGCGCTTCTCACCTGGACCCAAGCTCCTGTGGTGAGAAAGGGCTGGGGCTGTCCTCTCTCTGCAAGGCAGTCTGCATACAGAAGCCCTCATCCCCAGTCCCGCCCCAGAGCAATGATTTAAATGAAAACTGTACATTTTTATTTTACTTCAAAAAAAAAGCAATTAGGGACCTAAGCAACACTGAGTAAATCTTCTAGTAAAGATATAATGAGGATGCCTAGTCTTGCGTGCTAGAGCCAGAAACAGCAAGCCTCATCGACTATATTTAAGCAAACAATATCCACCATATGCAATGCATGATGAATGTGCAAGTGGTGGGGATTCAATTATGATTTGCACAGCAACTGCATTTTGAGATGTGAACGTAACATGTGTTAACTAGCATTGTACTGTCCAATTCCATTTTAGGATATTAGAAATGTTCAGCCTGTCTTTTTTGGCTGTTATCCTAATCATTCTGAGAGCAACTAACAAGATGCGAAGCCTAGCCCTTGAGCCCCACTCCAGTTCTCCAAGATAAAGTCACTACATCTTAACTTGAAAATACTACTCAAGTAAAAAAAGCAAACTCTGCAACTAGAGAGCAAATCAGAACTGTGGTAACATGATGGTCAAAATCTTGCAAAGTAAATAAAAGGTCGAAAGGACATCTTTATGTCCAGTCCCACAGATGGCAAGATAGCTAAAATTGTCTCTCCCCAAAAGTCTGATTCCTGAATCTACACAGAGGTCTCAGCATGGGTCACTTGCGTAACTGTTTTGCTACTTAAGATATTTTACTGAGCTCCTCTATGCCAAATCAATCTTTTCCCTCAACTGTTTTCTTTTTAAAACATTCCCAGCAAATACTTGGCATCTGAGTCTGTTTCTTATTCTTGCTTGTTAGTTGCATATGACCTGGGTTCCATAGTCCATCAAGTGGCAAAAGTGTACTTGTTTTTCCTATTAATCTTTGTCTAACTATAACTTTTTCCATGCACTAACATTCACACAGCCCAAGAAAAATATTAAGCAGGGGAAAAAAGCTACTTGAAATCTGCTATATGAAGGAAGCTACTTCCCAAATCTCCTCAGAAGCATGTAAACCAGGGATGGGGATCCTATGGTCCATGTGCAGGATCTGGCCCACGAGGCTCGGGGCTCCCCCTTCCCAGCCACAGCTGACACATCGGGGGGGGGGGGTGCGCTGCCCACTCCTGGCCCCTCCCTCTCACCCACACCCTGCAACCCCACTCTACTCCTACACCCACCCTCCTGCCCACACCCCCTCACTCCCACCCCACTCTTGCACACTCCCTCCCAAACCATGCACCACCACCCCTCAGCCCACTCCTACACTCTACCCCCATCCAGACCCTGCACTCCTACCCCCAGTTTGCTTCCCTCACTGACTAGGCCCCAAACTGAGAAACAGAAAAAAAACCCTACTCCCACAGGCTTTGGGGTAGGACCAAAAGTGAGAGGTGCAGTGTGTGGAAGGGGGCTGCCAGGAAGTTAGATAGGGATGAGGGTACAGGAATGGATAATGGTGGGGGATTTGGGGGGGGGGGAAGGGGGAGGATCGGGTAATGTTTTAAATTTTTAACATCATAACTAGATGAAAGATCATTCTCAAAGAGTAGCTATCAATGGTTCACCGCCAAACTGGAAGGATGTATTTAGTGGGTTTACCCACAGGTCTGTCCTGGTCCAGAACTACCCTTGAACATCTTTAATCCAGCAAATCTGAAAACAGGGTATGCTGGATTAAGATGTTGCCAGGCCAGGGGGGCGTAGTGGGGGTCAGTGTGAGCGGGTGGGGCACTTACCTGGCACCCTGTTCCTGGGAGCACACATAGCTCTGCATCCCCCGCCAGCCCCAGGCACTGCTACCCACCACTATGGGAATGGCGGGGAAAAGCCTCAGGGGAAGTGTAGGGAAGTGGCTCTGTGCACTACTGTTTCCCTAGCAGCGAGAAAGAGGGCGAGCCAGCACATTAAGCCACTT